GTAATGATATTAATCGCACTTAAAGCATGTTTGTATGTATGTGTGTGTATTTAGAGGATATATCTACGTAAAGAATAGCTATAGCCATATGATTAATTGCATGCTATCTAAGCATTCAGTGCACGTTTACAAGCGAGCTAACACACACACGTTCCTCCCAGTATATTCCCAAATTAACTCTTTTTTTTAATAACCTACCACGAATACGCTAATTAATAACACCAATATTTAGTTAAAGGGAAACAGGACACCCGCAAACACGCTTTTCAGATTAATGATTCGCGGAAAATGGCTATTCATTATCATTATGATAAGGGTAGAGATTCTCAATATCTATTAAAAGTACAAGGTAAATTGGTAGTAGATTAGGAAAAGGGGTTTACTGTCTCTAAGCGTATATAGTACACCATATACGGGGAGGGAGGGGAGGGGTAGGGAGAAATTATAATCTGACAAGATTTAAATTTGCGGAGAAAGGAGAAAGAAGGAAACAGGAGAAGCAAAAAAAAGGAGAGGATCGAGAAGAGCGGGTAGGGAGGAAGTAAAGAAGGCGAGTGAAAAGGGGAGGGGGAAGGAGAGAGGGAGGAGAGAAGGGCGAGGGAGGATCTATACGGGATAAAAGAGTTGAAAGGAGGAGGTGCGGGAGGGAAGAAGGCTAGGAGAAAAAAAAGGAAGAGAAAGAAGGTACAGAGGAACAACGGCCGCGCGGTTTAACGTGAGGATGGAACATAACAACCCTGAAGGAGGATCGACTTGGAGAGAAGAGGCCGGAGTGAGACGGGGCTCCAAGCAGAGGGACAGGGGCGGAATGAAAGGGAGAAGAAAACGACACCAGGGGAAAAGAGATAAGGTGACTGAAGGAAGGCTTATAAAGGGAACAGGACGACGGATGGAGAGAGAGAAATGATGAGGAAAGAGGAAGAGATAGAGTGAGTCATGTACGGGGATAGAAAAAAGAGGAAGAGAGAGAGAGAGAGAAAGAAAGAAAGAGACAGAGGAGAGAGATCAAAGCAAAAAGCCAGCAGACAAACAAACAAATAAAGACAGAGAGAAAGAGGAGGAGATATATAAAACCAACAGATATAAAGAGTAAGAGAGAAATAGATGGGAAGCTGTCTAACCAACCCTCTTTATTGCTCAATTTCCCAGCTCCTGTTGCAATATTTTTGTTCATTACTCTATATCAAAATTTTATGAACAACATTCTTCACTTCAGGCAACAGTTGTTATTGGATTAAATATTCTAAACTTTTTTTATCTCCCTTTTTTTAAATATGATTCTTTTTCTGTTTAAATATTCTAAACTTTTTTTATCTCTCTCTTTTTTAAATATGATTCTTTTTCTATGTTTAAATATTCTATTTTTTTATCTCTCTCTTTTTTATCTCTTCTTTTTAAATAGATACTTTTTCTATGTTTAAATATTCTAATCATTTTTATCTCTCTCTTAATATGATTTTTTTTTCTTGTTTAAATATTCTAAACTTTTTATTTTATCTCTCTCTTTTTTAAATATGAATCTTTTTCTATGTTTAAATATTCTAAACTTTATTTATCTCCCTTTTTTTAAATATGATTCTTTTTCTGTTTAAATATTCTAAACTTTTATTTTTATCTCTCTCTTTTTAAATATGATTCTTTTTTCTATGTTTAAATATTCTATTTTTTTTATCTCTCTCTTTTTTATCTCCCTCTTTCTTAAATATGATACTTTTTCTATGTTTAAATATTCTAAACTTTTTTTATCTCTCTCTTAATATGATTCTTTTCTGTTTAAATATTCTAAACTTTTTTCTCTCTCTCTCTTTTAAATATGATTCTTTTCTATGTTTAAATATTCTAAACTTTTATTATCTCTCTCTTTTTAAAATATGATTCTTTTTCTGTTTAAATATTCTCTTTTTATCTCTCTTTTTTTATCTCCCCTTTTTTAAATATGATACTTTTTCTATGTTTAATATTTCTAAACTTTTTTATCTCTCCTTTTTAATATGATTCTTTTCTGTTAAATATTCTAAACTTTTATTTTTATCTCTCTCTTTTAAATATGATCTTTTTCTATGTTTAAATATTCTAAACTTTTTTTTATCTCTCTCTTTTTTTATCTCCCTCTTTTTTAAATATGATACTTTTTCTATGTTTAAATATTCTAATCATTTTTTATCTCTCTCTTTCTTAATATATGATTCTTTTTCTGTTTAAATATTCTAAACTTTTATTTATCTCTCTATTTTAAATATTCCTTTTCTATGTTTAAGTATTCTAACCTTTTTTTTATCTCTCTTTTTTTATTATTTTATTTTTTTTTTTTTAATATTCTAAACTTTTTTTTTTTTTTTTTTAATATGATTCTTTTTCTATGTAAAACAGCGTGTCTTTTTAGCTCGCAAACCTAACTGCGTGATAACAGGTATGGGCACACTGCTTTAACACATTACCTAAATGGAGAGTGGCTACCGGGGGAAAAAAAAAAAAAAAAGGAAAAAAAAAGAGAAAAATCTCGCTTGCATATCGTAAAAATGATTTTTTTTCTCTCTCTCCTACCTATTCCTTTCCCCCCCTCCTCCTCATCTTTACCCCTCCCTTCCCTTCTCTGCTCCTTTGAATGTTCTGTCTCTCCCTTCGTTTCTCCTCCCTTGATCGCTCCTCTCCCTCACCTCTCCTTGAACTTTCTCTTTCTCCCCTCACTCCCCTCACTCCCCCTTGACCTCTCCCCCCCACTCCCCTCTCCTCCTTGAACTCTCTCTCACTCCCCTCCCCCCCCTTGACCTCTCTCTCCCACTCCCCTCTCCTCCTTGAATTCTCCCTCACTCCCCTCACTCCCCCACTTGATCCCTTCCTCACTCCCCTCTCCTCCTTGAACATCCTCTCCCCCCTTTTTTTACCTTCTCCTTCCCCTCCTTCAGTCCCTCCTCCCCCCTCCCCCAACCCGATTTTACCTCTCCTCCCTTCCCCCTTTCCCCCTAAAAAAAAAGAAAGAAAAAAATTAGACCTTTCTCGTGCTTTTACGTCGTAAACATGAGGGGAAATGGTCGAGACTGCCTCTGATTTTATAAAATACTAGACAATTTTTGCAACCGGGGAGCGTCGGGTGGGGGGGGGGGAGAAGGGGGATAGGAAGCGGGAGAGGAGCGGGAAGAGGGGGAGGGGGGTAGGAGCGGAGAGAGGGAGGGTAAGGAGGAGGAGGGGGAGGAGGGAGGTATAGGAGCGGGAAAGGGGAGGGTAAGGGGAGGAGGAGGGTGAGGGGGTGAGGGGAAGGCAAGGGAAAGGAAGAGCAGAGGAGGCAGGGGAGAGGGGAGAGGAAGGGGAGAAGTAGATGAAAGGGGAGAAAAAGGGGGAGTAAGGGATTGGTACTCATCTCTATTATCCTGTTGACTGCTTTTGTGTTTGTATGTTTTTTCTCTCTCTCTTTCGCTTTTCATTGCCTCTTTTTTTCCCTAAAGTTTTTGTTTGTTAGTCACCCTTTCTCTCTCTCTCTCTCCTCTCTTCTCTCTCTCTCTCTCTCTCTCTCTCTCTCTCTCTCTCTCTCTCTCTCTCTCTCTCTCTCTCTCTCTCTCTCTCTCTCTCTCTCTCTCTGTCTCTCTCTCTCTCTCCTCTCTCTGTCTCTCTCTCTCCCTCTCTCTCTCTCTCTCTCTCTCTCTCTCTCTCTATTTATCTATCTTTTTTCCCCTTCTCTAATTCTCAGTAATTTGAATAGATATATCACCAAAAATGCAAAATTCGAAATACAGAAAAAAAGAAAAAACACACACACAAATAACACCAACAAACAAACACACAAACACACAATCAAAACAACACCCACGAAAAAAACACTACGAAATACACACAAAAAAAACACACACGTACACACAAACATCACCAAACACACAAACAAACCAAACAACACCCCTCCCACCTCCCCCCCACCCCCTCTACCCCCTCACTAACCCCCCCACCTTCCTCCTCCCGCAGTTCAACTTCGTGGGCAAGCTGCTGGGACCCAAAGGCAACTCCCTCAAGCGGCTTCAGGAGGAAACGATGACCAAGATGGCGATCCTGGGACGCGGCTCCTTCAGGGACAAGGCGAAGGAGGAGGAGTTACGTAAGAATCCTGACCCGAAGTACGGACACCTGCAGGAGGACTTGCACGTGGAGGTCACCGCCCACGCGCCTCCTGCCGAGGCCTACGCCAGGATCGCCTACGCCCTCACGGAGATTCGTCGGTATCTGGTGCCGGTGAGTGTTTTTTTTTTTTTTTTTTTTTTTTTTTTTTACCTGTTATTGTTGTTGTAGTTTTCGTCTATTTTTTTACTGTGATTATTGTGATCAGAAACATTTATAGATAGATAGATAGATAGAGAGAGAGAGAGAGAGAGATGTGTGTGTGTGTGTGTGTGTGTGTGTGTGTGTGTGTGTGTGTTGTGTGTGTGTGTGTGTGTGTGTGTGTGTAATTATCTATAAATGTTTCTGATCACAATAATCACTGAATATATATACATTATATATCAGTAGTGATATTGTTGTTGTTATATTTTAGATAGGCTTCTTACTATCATTATTAATAGCAGGAGCGATATTGTTGTTGTTGTTGTCTTACTTTAGATATTATTGCTATTGCTATTATCAGCAGCAAAAAGTGTTCCTGTTGTTGTCATATCTCTAACAGAAGATCTTAGTCCTATTAAGATTTTCTTTTAGATATTCCGGTCATAACTACAACCATTAGTATGATTAGTCATTATTATAACATGTTTTTGTTGTCGCAGTTGCAATTATCACAACGCTAAGTAACATAAGGGTTATATACCGACTTACCTTCGCGGAGTCGCCCCCCCCCCCAAGAAAAAAAACGAATAATAAAAGAGATAAGGAAGTTTGCAATAACAGAAGCTTGCAGTAACGGAACCTTGCAATAACGGAACCTTGCAATAACGGAACCTTGCAATAACGGAATAAAAGACATAAGAAAGCTTGCATTAATGGAACATTGCAATGGAAGATTCCAGTAACGGAAGCTT